ACTTATGTGAGAGCAGTTCTCGTTCTTGTTCTCAAGAATGAGAAGTTGGCTGCCTTATAGTCAAATGCTATAGTGTGGTTTGCTAAGATGACGACTGAGAAAAAGCCTTTGCATTTGGCAACTCTGAGATTTGGTACCTTTTCCAGAGCCTTGTCCCTAGCTTGCTATATTGAAAGAGTGGTAAGGGAGTAGAGAGTGAGTTCCCAAATACTTGTGTGTACAGTGATTCCTATATATTGTTTCCTAGTCCAGCAGTGAGAGAATTGATTAGATTTTCTCAGCTCAGAACTGTTTTGGGTCCTGGAAATGTATATTTTTAAAAAGTTCCGCCAGGCTCGGTGGCTCAGCCTATAATCCCCCGCCTTTGGGAGGCTGAGGTGGATGGATTGCCTGAGCCCGTGGGTTCGTGACCCACCTGGGTAACTTGGCACGACCTCATCTCTAAAATAAATCAAAATGAGCTGGGCATGGTAGCGCACGCCTGTAGTTCCAGCTACTTGGAAGGCTGAGGCGAAGGATCGCCGGAGCCCAGCAGGTTGAGGCTGCGGTGGCCGGGAGCAGCCACTGCACTTCAGTCTGGGTGACAGAGTGAGATTCCAACTCAAAAAAAAAAAAAAAGTTCCTCACATGGTTCTTATGAATACCCATGCCTGGGAATTACAAATGTAGATTTTTCAAGCAGTTCACAAGGACTAAGCTTGCCATCAAGATGGATTTGTGAGTATTGTTTTGAGACGACCCCCTTTTTAAAAACAGAGCAAATGACTGATAAAACAGCAAAAAGAAAAGACTAAATTGATATGAATGAGGCTTAAAAAAAGATAAACATTTCTATGTTTTAGAGAGAGTAGAACATAATGTGGTGAGTGGGTCTTGCTGAGTCTACAGGTAAAGCAACTGAGGTTTTGGCTACTTTCAGGTAATGCGGAGGTATAATGGAGTTGGGCTCATTGTTGAAATCCATGGGCCAGGATGGGGTTCCTCTCCTCTGTTGAAAAAGATGTTTCTGAGTTTAGTACTAGGGCTGCATGTTTTACAACTTTAAGGATCTGATGGTAGTTACTCAGTGGATCTCCTGGGGTAGTACAGGGGACAACCTCCCTGGCTGTAAGAAGTAACTTTGTTGCTAACCGCTGCCAGATGCCACAGTGTATATGAACCATATACCTAGGGATTCAAGAGAAGAAAATAGCTATCAAATCAGGAACCTGCTAGCTCAGGTTATATCCTCACTGTTACTGAAGTAAAGGATCAATAAATTTGACTGTTAAAAACAAAGATTTCTTTACAATAAAATGCAGTATAAATAGAACAGAAAGATAAACCACTGATTGGTAGGAGACATTTGCCAAATATTTAACTGAAGACTGATTAATGTCCAGCATATTAATATTGAAATTAATAATGAAAAACTTAAACCAATAAGGAAAAGACAGCTTATTAAAAAAGGTAAATGGAAATGAATGAGCAACATAGCCCAAATGGCAAAGGAGAGAATTAAGTTTGCCCGTCCTCACTTAGTAATCAGGGAAATGTAAAAACTAAAATAACGGTATACCTTTTCACTCTTCAGATATGACAAATACTAACTTTTGGTAAGGAGATTGAAAAAATATGAACTCTCCTACACTGTTTGTGAAATAGTTACTTGGAACAGCCATTTTGGAGAATATTTTGTTAATATCCAGTAAAGTTGAAGATACCTAAAAGTTGGCGATTTGACTCTTAGATATGAAGTCCAGAAAAATTCTAGTAAAGCCAAATGAGGAAACATGCAAGACAAATGCAGTATTGTTTTAATAGTGATTGGGAGGCTGGCACATTGGCTCACACCTGTAATCCCAGCACTTTGGGAGGCAGAGGCGAGAGGATTGCCTGAGTTTAGGCGTTTGAGACCAGCCTGAGCAACATGGCGAGACCTCTTCTCTACAATAAATCAAAAAAATTAGCCGGGCATGATGGTGCACACCTATGGTTCCAGCTACTTGGAAGGCTGAAGCGGAAGGATCGCCTGAGCCCAGCAGGTCGAGGCTGCGGTGGCCTTGAGCTTGCTGCTGTACTCCAGCCTGGGTGACAGAGTGAGACTCAAACAAAAAATAGTGATTGGGAACATCCTAGTGTTCACTAGAATAACAGTGGATTGATAAATTGTGGATCAATGATATGATCCCCTTGTGGACTCATACAGTGGGATATTATCTGGCAGTTAATGAACTTTAACTGTATCAGCATTTATAAATAGAAAAGACAATATTAGCCGGGCTCGGTGGCTCAGACTGTAATCCCGCGTCTTTGGGAAGCTGAGGTAAATGGATTGCCTGAGCCCGTGGGTTCAAGACCCGCCTGGGCAGCGAGACCTCATCTCTACAATAAATCAAAAAATTAGCCGGGTGTGGTAATGCGCGCCTGTAATTTCGGCTACTCAGAAGGCTGAGACGGAAGGATCGCCAGAGCCCAGCAGGTCGAGGCTGCGGTGGCCAGGAGCGGCTACTGCACTACAGTCTGGGCAACAGAGTGAGACTTCAACTCAAAAAAAAAAAAGAAAAGAAAAGTCAAAATGAGTATCAGCCAGGCATGGTAGCGCATGCCTGTAGCTCCAGCTACTTGGCAGGCTGAGGTGGAAGGATTGCCGGAGCCCAGCAGGTCAAGGCTGCGGTGGCCGAGAGTGGCCACTGCACTCCAGTCTGGGCGAAAGAGTGAGACCCCAACTAAAACAAAAAACAAAAAAAAAGCCCCCAAAAACAAAGTGAGAAGCAGACTTTTTTTTAGAACCAGGGTCTTGCAATGTTGTCCAGGTTGGTCTCAAGTTCTTTTCCTCAACTGATCCCCCCACCTCAACCTTCCAAAGCTCTGGGATTACAGGTGTCAGTCACCACTTCTGGCTGAGAAGCAGGTTATTAAGTGTAGAGTGATACCATTTTATTTTAAAGCTTAAAAAATGAGAGCCAGGCACGATAGCACATGCTTGTAGACTCAGCTACTCTGGAAGCTGAGGCAGAAGGATTACTTGAGCCCAGGAGTTGTAAGGCCAGCATGGGCAACTTAGGATGAACCTATCTATTTCTCTCTCCTTCTCCTCCTCCTCCTTCTTCTTTTTTAAAATAGTGCTATATATAAATGGCTACCCACACAGGTCTCATACAAAACATAAAGTTTCATACAAAATGTAAAGTTATGTATGGGAGTAATACCAATCTCAGGATAGTGATTATCTCTGCAGAACAAAGGAAGGAGTTTAACTGTTTTTCCAGTGTTTGTTTATAAAATGATCTGGAGTAAGTATAGTACTTCTCAGATTTGTTTAATGTGAGTGGTAGATATATGACTGCTTTTTATGTATTCTGTAATATTCTCTGTGTTTGAAAGGTCATCTAGTAAAAAGGTAAAAAAACAAAGTTTCCTGATTAGAGGATTTTGACAAAAATATAGTAGTAAAAAAGGAAATTAACTCAAGGAATTTTTTATGCTTTTAAAAAATATCACATCATCTTTATATGTTAAAGGATGAAATAAGTAAAAAGGGAAAGGTTGATAGCACATGAGAATGGTTTTCTGGTTGGGGCGAATTACTAATGGAGATGATAAGAAATAGGTTTTATTAGCCGTGGGAAAGAGGTGAGACATACTTTCTCTGTAGGTAGGAGTGGACAAATAGAAAAGAGATGTAACTAGGAATAAATATTGAGTTGGAGAAGCCATTTGAAGAAACTCACAATTTTTTCAGTAAGGTATATAAGTTGAAATAATTTGTCTATAAGTGTGGTATGCTGTATGTTGAGTTTGAAACTATTAGAAAGATATACAGAATACTTGTAAGGAATGGAATAGGTTAAATGAAAAGGTAGAACAGTAGCACTGAAGGACAGAAGTAGATTGAATAAAATGTATACTGGTGCTTAGTTATATAATTTTGTCCAATTTGCTCAGCAAGTCGTGGCAGGGTCTTTTTGTGGAAGAGAGTCAGAGCCCAGAATTCCTTGAAAATATGTCTGCTTCTGTAGTCTATTTCTCTCATTGTTTTCTTGGTTTTAACTTTATTTAGTTCAATTTCTGTTTTTATAATTTCATCTTCTTACTGTTTAATGAATTTTAGAAACTTTTTGTTCCATTGATGGCATTGTTTCTTGTTTTTGCTTTATTCTTAAGAGAGTTGTGGTGCAGGGTGATTTGATTTATGTGGTTTTTCTATCTTAATACAATCTTTAGCGGGACTTGTTAAGTATAAAGAAATAACTTAATTCTAATTTCAGATATCTTGGAAACATTTGAGATAGCTGGGGGAAGGTAATTTTTCTTTGTACTCTGTAGATTTTAAATTGTTAATATAATGCACATTGAAATATATATTTTTGGCAAGTTGCTATTTTAGAAAATGTTCAGATTCGGACAGTGGGACTTAATATTACGTAGTCTTGATGAGACATGTGTTTTTGTTTTTGTTTTTTTTTTTTCATTTGGTTGGACTCTCCCTCTGTTGCCCAGGCTGAAGTTCAGTGGCACAATTATGGCTCACCGCAGCCTTGACCTCCTGCGCTCTTGGTGATCCTTCTGCCTCAACCTCCCAAGTAGCTGGGACTACAGGTGTATGCTGCCATGCCTGCAAATTTTTTATTTAAAAAAAATTTTTGTGGAGATGAGGTTTCATTATGTTGCCTCTGTTGGTCTCAAACTCCTGGGCTCAAACAATCCTCCTACCCTGGCTTCCCAAAGTCCTGGGATTACAGGTGTGAGCCAGGATTACAGGTGTGAGCCACCACACCCAGCCAAGACTTTTTGTGTGTGTGTATGTGTCGAGGGCTGACTTTCAAAAGATGGCAGCGAGGGAGCTGCTCTGCTATGTACAGAACCCTGACCCAGAAGACTGTTTTTAAGACTGTTCCTATACTAAAAGAAGAGTTAGGAGTTTGTGTAGATGTAATCAACATATTTTTTAAACCTTTCTTGAGCATCAAAAAGCAGTCTGTAATATTCCTTCTGTTTTCATGTCTTTTATGATACAGTTCTTTTGCCAAGAAAATGGTTTGCACGATTTTGAACGTGTACTATCCATGCTGATGGGACAGGATCCAATATGAATGTAAATGATGGAGGAAGACGACGCTTTGAAGATAATGAACATACATTACGTATATATCCTGGGACAATTTCAGAAGAGACAATCTACTGTCCAATTCCTGCCAGAAAAAACTCCACAGCAGCTGAGGTGATTGACTCTCTTATAAACAGACTTCATCTTGACAAAACAAAATGTTATGTTCTAGCAGAGGTAAAGGAATTTGGTGGAGAAGAATGGATACTCAATCCAACAGACTGTCCAGTTCAGCGAATGATGTTGTGGCCCCGAATGGCTCTGGAAAATCGCTTGAGTGGAGAGGACTACCGCTTTCTTCTGAGAGAGAAAAACCTTGATGGATCAATCCATTATGGTAGCCTTCAGTCATGGCTACGGGTAACGGAAGAACGTCGCAGGATGATGGAACGGGGTTTCCTTCCACAGCCGCAACAGAAAGACTTTGATGATTTATGTAGCTTACCTGATTTGAATGAGAAAACTCTCTTAGAAAATCTACGAAATCGCTTTAAACATGAAAAAATTTATACCTATGTTGGCAGTATTCTAATAGTTATTAACCCATTCAAGTTTCTTCCTATTTATAACCCCAAATATGTCAAGATGTATGATAACCACCAATTGGGAAAACTTGAACCCCACATTTATGCTGTGGCTGATGTAGCTTATCATGCTATGCTTCAGCGCAAAAAGAATCAGTGCATCGTGATTTCAGGAGAGAGTGGTTCTGGAAAGACTCAAAGCACAAACTTTCTTATTCACCACCTTACTGCTCTCAGTCAGAAAGGATTTGCTAGTGGAGTTGAACAGATTATACTTGGAGCTGGACCAGTACTTGAGGTAAGTGTATAGAAATACTTTTTTAAATTTAAATTTTATTTTTTATAGCCCAGGGTGGGTGGGGGACGTGCACTGTTTCTGGAGGTACTTCAGTATCAGTTCAGTGCATGGAGAGAATCAGGCAAGCTCTTATTCCATCTTCCTGCCCCCCAGATTTACTTAATATATGAGTGGGGACCAAAAGAAAAAAAACCAACCCGTAATTTATTTATGAAAAATTATGTATTTATTCTTTCATGTTTAAACTTTAGTCACCTTCAAAGTACTCTCTGTAATGAAGTACACTTATTGAAACACTTTTTGCACTGCTTAGAACAGTTTTTGAACTCGTGAAATGTTGGTGCCTTTTAATACTTCCATTTTTTGTTTCATCTCCACCACACTGACAAAACGTTTCCCTTAGAGGACTTTTTTCATGCGGGGAAATAAATAAAAAGTTGCTTGGGGCTAGATCTGGTGAATAGGGAGAGTGGGGCATGGGGATTGTGCCATTTTTGGTCAAAAACTGCTGAACACTCAGCACAGTGTGGGCAGGTGCATTATCATGTTGGAAGAACCAGTCACCTGTATGCTACAACTTGGGACCTTTCTGCCAAATGCAGCCTCTCATAACACTGCCAGCTGGTACACTGATGCCGATGCATTCCTGGAACACTTACCTAGCAGGGGAAGCCTGTACTACAGGGGACCCATCCTCCAAAAGATAATTCCATTTTTGGGGTCCTCTTGTATATGCCTATGAAACTACCACCACAGTCAAGACACTGAACATATCCATTATCCCAAGTTTCCTAATACCTGTTTGTAATCCCTCTCTCGCATTTTCCTAACTGGGGCATCTACAAGAAATCATATACGTGGTCTGTCACTGTAGATTAGTTTGTATTTTCTACAGTTTTATACAAATGGAATCATATAGTATATATCCTATTATGTTTGACTTTTCTTACTTGGTATTATTATTTTGACAGTTAGCCATGTTGTTACATGTGTCAATAGTTCATTCCTTTTTGTTGCTATAGTAGTAGTAGTCCATTGTATATCATAGTTTGTTTATCCATTCACTGGCTGATGGATATATAAGTTGTAGCTTATCATGCCGTGCTTCAGTGCATGGTGATTTCAGGACACGTGTCTTTGTATGGACATATGCTTTTTCTTCAATAAATACCTAGGAGTAGAATGAATAGATCATATTATAGGAGTATGTTTAACTTTTTAAGAAACTGACCAACTTTTCCAAAGTGATCGTATATACCATTTTATATTCTCACCAGGGCATGACAATTCCATTTACTCCAGTATCCTTGGTATAGTCATTTGTTTCTAATTTAACCATTCTAATATGTGTGTAGTGGCATCTCATTGTGGTTTTAGTTTTCATTCTGTAATAACTAATGATGTTTCTTTGACATCCATGTATCTTCTTTGGCAAAAACTTGCCAAAATCTTTTGCCCAACTTTTGATTGAGTTGTTTTCTTATTGTTGATTTTTAGAGTTCTTTGTGTATGGTGCATGCAAATTCCTTTATGTGATGCACAACATCAGATATGTGTTTTGCAGACATTTTCTCCAAGACTTAGCTCTCTCTTAAGTTTGATATAATTCAGTTTATCTGAATTTTTTTTCTTTTATAGATAGTGCTTTTGGTGTTGTGTTTAAGATAACCTTATACAACCCATGGTTACAACGATTTTGCTTTTTTTTGTAGTAGTTTTATAGTTTTAGGTTTAGCATTTAGGTCTGTGATCCATTTTGAATTCAATATTATATATGGTGAGAGGCGTAGACCTAATGCTTGCCTACGAGTATCCACTTGTTTCAGTAACTTCTCTTGAAAGGCTGTTCGTTCTTCACCTTATTGCCTTTGTGTTTTTGTAAAAATATCATTTGTCCGTCTATAGGTGGGTTTCTGGATTCTCTCTTTTGTTCCATTGATCTGTTTAGCCATCTTTATGCCAGTGCCACATTGTTTTCATTTCACAACTTTATTATTATTAACTTTTTTTTTCTTTTGAGACAAATTCTTGCTCTGTCTCCCAGGCTGAAGTGCAGTGGCATGTTCACAGCTCACTGCAGCCTTGATCTCCTGGACTCAAGTGATCCTATTTCAGCCTCCTGAGTAGCTGAGACTACAGGCATGTGCCAACATGCCCAGCTGCTTTTCTTGTTTTTTTGTAGAGACAGGTTCTCACTATGTTGCTCAGACTGGCCTCAAACTCCTGGGCTCAAGCAGTCTTCCCACCGTGGCCTCCCAAAGTGCTGGGATTCACAGGCTGAGCCACCGAGCTGGCCTGTGCTTTGCATTTTCATATGAATTTTTGAACTAGACTATCAGTTTCCCCATAAAAGCCTTCTAGGACTTTGGTTGGAATTGTGTTAAATCTATCGTTTAATTTGGGAGAGAAATGACATAATAACAGTATTAAGTCATCTGATCCATGAGTAAGTTTATTTTTGCATTTATTAAAGGCTTCTTTAATTTCTTTCAGCAATATTTTTATAGTTTTCAATGTACAGGTCTTTCATATCTTTCATAAGATATATCTCAATATTTTGGGGAATGCTATTATAAATGGTATTTTAAATTTTTCAATTGTTCATTGCTAGTATATAGATATACAACTGATATTTACATATTGATCTTTTATTCTGTGAGCTGACTGGATTCAAATAGTAGTTTTCATAGCTTTTTTGTAGATTCCATTTAATTTTCCATTATAGTTAGTCATGTCTGTGATAAAAAGAGCTTTATTTCCTCCTTTCCTATCTGGATGTCCTTTTTTTTCCTTAACTGATTTCGCTAGCTACTTCATTACAATGTTCAATAGACGTGGTGAAATCGACGTCTTTGTTTTGTTTCTGATCTTAGGGGAAAGCATTCAGCCTTTAACCAGTAAGTATGATGATAGCTGTTGGTTTTGTATAGATGTTCTTTATCATATTGAAGCTGGTCCCTTCTGTTCCTAGTTTGCTTAGAGTTTTTATCAGGAATGGATGTCAAAATTGATTTTGTCAAAGGCTTTTGCTGTGTCTATTGCGATGATCATATTTAAAAAAAAATGTTAATGTGGTTAATTATATCATGAGGAACATTGTTTTCTTTTTTCTTTTTTGAGATGAGGTCTTACTATGTCGAGGCTGGTTTCTTACTCCTAGGCTCAGGCAATGCTCTTACCTCAGCCTCTCTAGTAGCTGGGATTACTAGTGTGCACCACCATTCCTGGCATTGTTTTCTTTCATGTCTTTCTTGTTTTTTACAGCAGGATAATTCTGGTCTCAGAATGTGTTGTGAAGTCTTCCTTATGTTTTTGGAAGAGTTTGTATAGAACTGGTATTTTTTTCTATTGTCAGTGTTAGCATTTATTAATAAAGCCATCTGGGACTATGTTTTCTCTGTGGATGAGGTTTAAGCAAGGTTTCGATTTTTATTTTTAAAAAATTACTTGAGTTGTCTATGTTATTTTTTAGAGACAGTCTCACTCTGTAGCCTAGGTTGGAGTACAGTGGTATGATCACAGCTAACTGCAGCCTTGAACTCCTGGGTTCAAGTGATCCTTTTGCCTCAGCCTCCTGAGTAAGGATTACATGTATATGCCACCAGACTTGATGAATTTTTAAATTTTTTGTGGAGATGAGGTCTTGCTCTGGGAGAGAAATGGCTATTCTTGAACTCCTGGCCTTAAGCAATCCTCCCACTTATCTCCCAAAGCACTGGGATTATTGGTGCATGCCACTGCGCCTGGCTTCAACTTTAAAAGTAGATATAGAACTGTTCGTGTTACCTATTTCTTCTTGAGTATGCTTTGGTAATTTGTGTCTTTCAGGAAAGTTTTATGCAATATTTCCTTATTCTCTCAAGTATCAGCTTTTGGTTTCACTGATTTTTTTCTGTTTTGTGTTTCATCAATTTCAGTTTTGATCTCTATTATTTTTGTTTACATTGCATTTTATTTGTTCACTTTTAGTTTTTTAGTGTGGTATCTGAGGTCATTGATTTTTTTTTCCTTTTTTTAAAGATCATCCTTCCCTCCCTTCCTCTTCCTTTTTCCTCTCCCCTTCCCCTCTTTTCCTCTTTCTGTCTGTTTATACTTCCTTCCCTCCTTCTCTTCCTTTTTCTTTTCTTTTCTTTTTTGACAGACTATTACCTTGTCACCAAGTCTAGAGTACAGTGGCATGATCATCTAGAGTACAGTGGCATGATCATAGCTCACTGCAGCCATGAACTCCTGGGATAAAATGATACTCCTACCTCAGCAACCCAAGTAGTCAGGATGACAGGTGCATGCTACCATGCCCAGCTGTTTTGTTTTGTTTTTTACAGAAGGATGGGGTCTTGCTATGTTGTCCAAACTGGTCTCCAACTCCTGAATGCAACTCATTCTCCTGTCTTGGCACTTCCCAAAGGGCTGGGATTATAAGCATGAGCCACCGTGCCCAGTCTTCTTTTCTGATATAATTAGTTAATGCTATAAATTTTTTCTCAAGTACTAGTTAGGTACCCCACAAATTCTGATATGTTTTCATTTTTATTGAGTTCAAACCGTTTGCTAGTTTCCTTTTTTAATTTCTTCTTTGAACTGTGGGATTCCTTAGATTTGTGTTTAGCTTATCAATATTTAGATTTTTAATTTTTTTTTTTTTTTTTAGTTGAGGGTCTCACTCTATTGCCCTGGCTGGAGTGCAGTGGCATGATCATGGCTCACTGCAGCCTTGACCTCTTGGGCTCAAGCAGTCCTTCCACCTCAGCCTCCTGAGTACCTGGGACTACAGCCATGTGCCACCACTCTGGGCTAGTTTTTTGATTTTTTTTTTTTTTTTTTTTTAAGACAAGTCTCTCACTATGTTGCCTAGGCTGGTCTCTAACTCCTGGGCTCAAGTGATCCTCCTGCCTCTGTGCTTCAAAGTGCTAGGATTACAGGCATGAGCCACTGCACTCAACCACATTTGTAAATATGTAGATTTTTCTCTCTTCTGGATTTGTAACTTAATTCGTTTG